TTTCCCACTTAACTATGGTACTTGAAAGGAAGTGTCAATTCTTAGCTATATTTTAGTGACCAAAGACTGTGTTGCTGTATACACATCACATTTATTTCCTGTAGTGTTTAGCGTTCAGTCTGAGCGACAATACTAGAGATATACTGTGTTCTTTCAAAGAAATCTACCAAGATGTTTCTAATGATAACATGCATGACAACATTTCCATATGTGTGGTCATACCAGCAATCCATGACAGTGTATTTAATGTGAGTTTTAGTTTCAGACAATCTCTTTTCAAAATGTTTTAGAGTGAAACACCACCAAGATTCATCCCTACACTCCATTAAAACTCAATGAAGCATTTTAGGTCTATTGAATACTACTGTGAGTAAACTATGTTGAGGTCTATAATAGAGAACACGCTGAATGCACTGGAACTACAGCAGGGCTTTCATTTGTTTTATGTTTTGGAATTGTTTGTGAAAGATAAAAAACTGGATGGTACGATGTAATCGCTATGTCCAGCAGTTCAGATCATCTAGCAGATGTTGACAAATCAGACAGCAATAACCCATCAGTAACTACCTTTTACTTTTATAACCAACCAGAACAGGGTTAGCACATTTAAGCTTTTTAACCCCACGGACATGTTGGTGCCAAGCTTCCATTTCCAAGCCATAAACTCAAACTTTGCACACTTCCTGAAGTTGGAATCATGTTTGCGCTCCATATTTTCATTCCACATAAGACAGCTATTAGTTTAATACACACAGTTTAACTTTTGATTCTGTAAGAAAGCCCTTTTTTTTGTACCCTTTTTTTTTCAGTATCATTAGTGTTTGTTGTTGTAATACTCATTTTGGCCACAGGGGGCTGGAGTGCACCACTACTCTATATTTTGAAAGTGCTAAAAGTTATTAAAATACATTTCTGGTATATTCAATAACTTGCAAATACACAATACATGAAATTCAAACTCGCCTAGAAAAAAAAGTGATGCTTTTAGACCTTTTTAAAAGATGTCCCCCTCTTGTGGGTGAAATTAATATGACAACATTAATCACTTTATACCATCTGCTTTCTCAGTTAAAAAAAATATACTAGTGAATGCTTATTGCCATTATATTTATTTTAGGAGGGATTATACCTTTTCATAATTACAATTTAGTTTACATTTAGGATTATTTATATGCGAGGTGATAATTTTGCGTTGCCATTTTTAGACAGGCCAGCCTTCCAGACCTAACTATTCACAAACCAGTACTTCCAAATCAGAGCCGCCATGCTGAAAAGAGTCAGTGCCAAATGTTCATTACATCATTTATAACCGGACCACATAGATGCCGTGAAAGATTTTCTCTATCTCACATGCTGTTGTTTCCATATCATTCTTCCATGAAATGTTTGACTTTGTACAGTTTCAGGCAACAGTTGTTGGTTTGCAGGCCTCTTAATATCTTACTATGTAAATAAATGTGTGAGCGTTATACTCTGTAAGGATGTTTATACATGTTACCTTTATGTCTGCAAATGAATTCACTCGATAGACAACAAAGAGTGATGCAAAATAATCATAATGCATTCTTAATTGAATTTCATCTAGAGACACATGTCCAATACAGAGTCAGGTACAATCAATGCATTGTTTGTCCCAGGTTAATGATAATATCTATGTCTCAAATGTTTCTGTTGCACTTTTAAGCTGTCATGTAGTCCCTGATTTAAGAACTAAAAGGCAAAAATCATAAATCCTCAATAGCAAAACATGTGGAAAGCATCTCTATATGTTTGCCATAAGATACCTTTTGGTATTCTGGTTATTTAAGACAGAAATGTTTTCCCTAATGTGACAAGTGCTTTGTGGCTGCTCCTGGATCAGTATTCGTTGCACTAGATATTCTACAAAACAGGGACTCGTGGCTTCTAGCACTTTCTAACACTATGGCTTGGTTAAGGGGTGAATGGTAAATAGTAATAATAAATGTTATGAGTTTTAAAAGATGTTATTGACTTTATACCACTGATATGATTATCTCATGTCATCTACTTGTTTTTATTAACAAGTTGAATGCTGTAAATGAATGTGTATGACACATGTGTGAATGTGTGCATGTCTCTTCATGTGTTACTGGACCAGATGAGTGTGGATGTTGGCAATCAAATGTATTTAAAATGAAGAAATAAACATATCCATCAAAAATATAACGTCTGCATTTTGTTTGTGTTGTGTTAAGTGTAGTTTTCTCTGTGTCCACACGGGCGCAGTCAAGAGCAATGTATTGTAATCTTTCATTAAAAATGCTGTTTCAACTTCTTGATGTCCGAGGCTTTCCCCTTATGTCACAGTTTTCCTGTGTGTGTCTCAGGTGCAGTTTGACAGCAAAATAGTTAACATACAATTTAGTTTAAAGACAATAATAAGTTCATCATTGCTTGCAGCCTAGTTACAGCATGTTCCTCCCTTCTCTTTATTATTTGTGTGTTTGGACTGACACATCTGAAACAAGAACACAGTGTGGCGTACTGTAGCGTGAGTTTGAGACTGCCCTTGGGTTTTTGTGCCATAACAGCAGCAGTGTATGATCCATTTGAGCTGTTGAATAACCTACAGACAGACAGTAAACACAGCTATTGTGTTTCAGACAGGATGATCCTGAGCCTTCATCCTGCCAGCTGTATATTGTCCTGTGTGTTCGAGAGAGAGAGAGAGAGAGAGAGAGAGACACACACTGGCCTTCACTTGCCTCTTTTATCTCCAGGTCAGTGAATACAGTTTAAATAGTATTTTTCATAAATTAGAACGTCTTGAATATTGATCTTAAACAGAAGTTTCAATTAAATATTTAAGAAAATGTGTGAGTGGAATGTTACTCAGTACATTTGCTCAAGTATTGTATTTAAGTAGATGCGAGGTACAGCATCACCGTGGAAAATATTGACAGCCAGTTACTACTTTTAAAACTACACATTTTCATAAACTGCTTGTCAAGTGAAAAACAGTTTTCACAATGTTGTGATTTTTATTTAAATTGAAGGAGGTTTAGCTGATTATGATAAGAGCGAAGAAGCCTCTTGTATGAGTGGGAAACATTTTCTCAGAAAGTCATGAAAAGTTGACTTTTCTCAGAAATATGTGCTTCTCGCAAGACAGCTACATGTACATTACAGACAGAATGATTTTGTAGAATAGTTAAGAGTTAAAATCGGCATAACTTTAAACATTTAAAGTATTAAAATGCAGCAGTGAGACAATTCGCCAAAAATATACCACTTGTTTTTAGAATTTATGGTTATCTGAAATAATACTTCTAATCTTTCATTAAAAGAAGAATAGTTTGTGTATTTTTTAGATCATAGTTAACACCAAAGGAAGACATGTTGGGGTTATCACTTCCAGGATAGGGTTTTAAAGGGTCCCTATTCTGCTCATTTTCAGGTTCATATTTGTATTTAGTTTCTCTACTGTGACATGTCTCCATGCTTTAATGTTCAAAAAGTGTCTTTATTTGTCTCATACTGCCTGTGCTGCAGCACCTCTTTTCACCCTCTGTCTGAAACCTGAGCGCAGTCTGCTCTGATTGATTTTTTGGACCGTTTAGAGATGTCCCGCCCCTTGGGGGTTTTGAAATAGAGTTAATCTCCTATCTGTAATCCAGTCTGATAATACCTATAGTTCAACGTTGAACGTTGAACTTCATTCATAGACCAATATAGTATTTTATTCATTCCCAGCCAGAGCAATTGATAAATCAAGACCTGTCTTTGCTTTACTTTTAACAAATAAAACCCAACTTTTCATCCCAAAATGTGTTTTTATATATATGTATATATATGTAATAATATACACTTACACTTAGATTGCTTCATATCTGTTTTCCAAACACATTTACATCTGATACATGATCACGTATGTTCTGTTATCATTGCAAACTAAAAGCTTTGATTTTATTACATTTTCTCTACAAACGAGGAGTATGCTAAGCTATGACTGAGGCAGAGAATCCCTTACTCTCACTATACGTATGTTCACCATTTGGGGTTTTATTCCTCATTAGCATTTGATGTAAATCACCTGGAGGCAGATAATATGTTAAAATATTGAATCAAGGTCAAATTTGATCGTTCTCTGCGGTGTATCAAAGTTTAGTTTTATTTCCGACGTGGACGGATTGAATTTGACGGCGTTCTTTGCGACAGCTCCTGTTCAATCATCATTTGATTAAAGATAATTGCCGACATTTATCCTTATAACACATGACTTACTCGATGTGTTTTAGAGCCACTCAAAAACAAGGTTAGACCAATTTAAATGTTGTTCAGGAAACTGTTGTCCCGATAGGGCAGACAACACCTCGTCATACTGGTACTGTAATGCAATGCTTTATATGGAAATACATGTTTACAATGTTCTTGTGTAAAGCTGAAGGGAATTGAATCTCTGTGCTGCGTTAAGCTGAATTCATTAAGGTACCAATCTGGGATGCAGAATGAAATCCCTGTATTGATTTAAAAAGCCAAAAATACCTAATGGGCTCATTAAAGTCCAAATACATCCTGAATGAGATACTGTAATGCTTTGTCAGCGTACCAAGACGCTGACAAAGGGCTGACACATATATATATATAAATATATGTCTTTCTAAATCCATTCATTAAACATTACACAATAAACCATGCTCAGTGTTAACACCAGTAACCTTGGATTTGAATGCTGTCGGTCTTAAAGGATATTATATTCTGTTTCTGTTCATATTAAAAAATCCAATAAAAAAAGATACCAACAATGCATTGAAACGCCTAACAAATATTACCTGTATGGCCTCTATTAGCCTCTGTAGCACAGAAGTCCATTGTATCCGAAATCTATTAAAACCATCGAGTCACACTGTTTAGTCATTACCATGGACACACACAAACACACACACTCCTACTGTTTGAGTGAGGCTTTGTCAAATCTGCAGTACCCAGCTGTAACAATAACTGATGCAAGAATGAAACCACAACTTGTTGAGCTGTTTTAATGATTTATTAGGGTGGAGAAGTCAGAAAGTATTGAGAGATGCACTGTTGGTTTACATTTTTTCATATGATTTCCTGACAATAACAACAATATAGAATATTGTCAGCCTTATCCTCATTCTTTGTGCTAGAATTCTGTTAAGTAGCGTTTTGGAAATTGCTCTTAACCTTCAGCCTTGAGATTCAGAGTCCACAGATTCACCCTTTAGGATATATTTCTCCTCTCCCCTTTAGGATATATTTTATGATGCTGAGCTCCCGTCCTGTCAGCCCTTGGTTACAGTGAGTGCAGTGTGAAAAGGGCTCATTAGTTTGCGGGCTTTTATTGGCGGCGATGGGAGTGGTTACTTTACAAATGTTAGCCTTTTTCTTTAGGAGGCGTACTCATACTCTTCAGCACTGCGCCTTCCAAAGTCCATCCAGCCTTGGTAGTCTCTGTCCGTTATCCTGTGGGCGGGGGACAGGCCGCTGGCTCTGCTGCTGAGGGAGGATCTGCTCTGGTAGGGGGAGGCTGGGGGAGGCAGAAACAGGAGGATGTGATGAGGACAGGAAGGGGAAAACATGATTGCATGCACATTTTTCTACCTATGTAAAATGAATATATAAGAGGTTGTTGAGTTAACTCATGCTGAATTGTTTTGATTATACCCCCCGCCAGATGAGCTCTGCAGGTCTCCCAGTCACACAGTGTTAACTTGAAGGAGCAACAGAGACACAGCGACAGAGAGAGCGGAGTGGGGGGTCAGGAGACCAGTGGAGGGGGAGGTATGGGAGGAGATAGAGAGCTGGAGGGAGGCGGGACATGGCAGATGGTGGGACTATGGGCTCAGCATGAGTGACGGCAGATAGAAATAACAGGACCAAGAGGAGAAGACGTGAGGATTGTTTTCTTGGGATGACTAAAGGGAGAGATGTTTCTTTTCTAATACTTTCTATCAAACCTCTCGCTGTACATGATCCGCTCACCTTTCCTGGAGAGCAGTCTGGCCAGGAGTTGGCTCAGGCTGATCCGAGCATCTGCGTTCTCTTGGGATGGGTTGTAGTTGGCGAGCTGCCCTGAGGGGGGGGCAGGGGCCGAGCGGGCCAGGCGTGTGTGGTGGGGTGAGGGGGGAGGCATGCTGTCTGACACCAGAGCCTCACCCTCTGCTCTCTGGGACGATAGTGGAAAAAACAGGGAGAGAGATGAGGAAAATGTCAAATCCTGAAATTATGGTTGCATAATCTTTTGGTATTGACATAACCATGATATTAAAAATAAATGTCATGTTAATAATGATTGCTTTCTATTATGCCTAATGCTTTCTCTACATCTTTGAACTTGTACTATGAGTGCAATTCATTTGACAAAAAACAAACAACTGGTAGCATTTTTTTTATTACGTTTTCTACAACTATTGCAAAAATATTGTTCTTGTGAATTGTCTTGGACACAGTCATCATGTAGGGAAAATGTGATATCCCTACCTCAAATATGGACAAATATGGCTGTCTGTAGAATAATTTAGTAGCGATGGAATCTCAGGACATTTCTACCTGTGTGTGTGTGTGTGTGTGTGTGTGTGTGTGTGTGTGTGTGTGTGTGTGTGTGTGTGTGTGTGTGTGTGTGTGTGTGTGTGTGTGTGTGTGTGTGTGTGTGTGTGTGTGTGTGTGTGTGTGTGTGTGTATCTTACCATGGATTGTGAGGGCAGACTCAGGGAGCCGCTGGACAGAGCAGCCAGGAGAACAACACACACACAGATCCCTACATTCATGGCTGACGAGAGAGAAAAAAAGACAACAAATAACAGAGTTAAAGGAAATCCTTGACACTTAAAGGGGTCATTTTATTAGATCATCGCTCTTATGTCGCCCCTGCTCTTTATTCCCTTTTATTGTGTCCCTTCAGCTCATTATACATTTGTTTGGGAGGGGTGGTGGTGCAATATGGGTTTTGCAGAAAGCAGCAATACATCAATTCAAAGTTGTTGAAGTAAAAGTGGTAATTGGGCGATGGGGGGGAAGTATTAACCTTTGATGGATCAGCTGTTACCTGAGGCTATCATGTTCTTCTGTTCAATTTAGAATTCAACACATACAAGCAATTGGTGTGCCTTAGCTGTAATGAATGTACATTCAGCTATGTGAGAATCCCAAAGGAAATACACCAATTATCTCCAAATCTTATTTTTGCTCTGTGGTGTTTTTTTTTAAGGGTCCATATGAGAGTCAATATTAACATGAGAGCACTGACAAAGGGCTCAAAGCATAAATGTATTGACAAATTAAATAAAGAGGAAGAGAAACAAAAATCTGTTTTCCCTTTTATCTGCTTAACGCCAATTAACTGCTACAAAAAGCAGTTCTCTATTATTGAAAAAAGGAAAAACTACATAAAAGACAGCATTATAAAACATTTGTCAAACTAATTTGCTAATTCGCTATTATCTTGGAGCCTCTCAAAGCAGCATATTAGTTTGTGATGGATAGCGCTTAACGCCAGAAAATCTTTCCAGAGCAAATCATCCAATTAGATGAAGCCAACAACAGCAGCCGCTCTGAGGCTCTCAATCTCCAATAGATGTCTCACTCTGAGTGCCTCAGTGTTTCTGTGCCGTCCTCTGTGGATACGTGTCCACTATTACTCAGGGTCTTTACACAAACGCTCCCTCCTTTTATCTTTAAACCTCCAATTCCATGGAAACTGCTTTTAAAATGTTTTGTTTTTTTCAACAAATAACGTCCTCTCCATACAGATGCATAATCAAGACTTATTCTCCTCCTCACTGGACGTAACAATGACAAACATGATCCCTCAACATGGATTTACAGTGTTAAGCATATTGAAATTAAAAACCTTTTGACCAAATGATATCTACAAATTATTTGTGTGTTATTTTATCAATATAAAAAGGCTATTTGAATAACCATGTTTTAATTGACACAGTGGTGGTGTAAACAGCCATTCTCTTGATGCTAATATAATTCTTGTTAGCAGCTGGTCATCGTATCAAATTCATTATTCAATGAGCTGGTAATGATGTGGTACTGTAATGCGTGTGAAGCCCTCCTCAAAAAAATTAATAAAAAGGGATTTTTTTTTCAAACACCTCCATGGTCAGTTTTTCCACAGAGATGAATATTCAGACTTACTTGGACACTAGTTGCAATTTCCCCCCTACGATTATTAATGAGCACAATCCTGTGTATGATTTTTGCAGCAATAATAACTAACCTAGCAAGCAAATAATAATACATACAATTATTATTTCACAAACACATTTCTGAATTCATGGTAATCTTAAAAGAAAAACCGAATTCAATGTCGTGCTCTGATATTTTGACACCCGGATAGTAAAAAACACGTGTCCTTAAACAGCTTGATTATCCTTAGATTGTACATCTGTCACCTTGAATTATTAATTGTTACATATTTCAAAGGTAATGTCCTTAAAATACTTCAAAACATATCAGCTGCTTCTCATTTAAAATTATGTTTGAGAGTAGCATCCCCCTTGAAAAAAAATAAGAAAGAAATTAGAAATATTGAATGAAAATAAACCAAATTTCAAAAAATTAAACCTCTTATTAAGAGAAATTATTAAAATGTGAAATCAAAACTCCAATCACCTTCAGTATAATAAGTCCTCCTGCACCAGAAAGACTGGACACAACTATGGACACACTTTTTATAATAATGTTCTTACTCTTACCTGCAGTTGTTGGTGAAGACGGGAGATGCTGAGTCTGAAGATGCTGAGCTCTGCTGCTCCAGAGTTCAGGATGTGAGTGAGTGTGTGAGAGAGGAGATCATGTCTTATACTGACACACAGGAAGGGGGAGGAGCCTGATGCTGGCACAGAAACTGACAGTCCTGACGTATTTGTGGACGCAAACCAACGTGCACACATATTGCAAACGCATTCAGACACACAAAAAAAGGTTATGACAAAGGTTGCTGCTTTAATTGTGTGGCCTTTTTCTAGAGCACCTGTGTGAGAAAGAGAAGAGGAACACACGTGCACACGCGCACACACACACACACGCCATTTTGATGGTTTGAACCAATGAACAGAAGCTGAAAGGCTCTTTAAAAGTTGCATGTCTGAGAAACATACTGGCACACACACACAGGCACACACACACACACCCCCCCCCCATACTCATGCACACCCTTTGTGTGGTTTGAACCAGTGAACAGAAGCTGAAAGGCTCTTTAAAAGTTGCCTGTCTGAGAACCTAACTGGTAAACACACACACACACACACACACACACACACACACACACACACACACACACACACACACACACACACACACACACACACACACACACACACACACACACACACACACACACACACACACACACACACACACACACACACACACACACACACACACACACACACACACTGGTGGTTATGAATATACCAAGGTTGTGGATTCAAGAGGAGAACAGTCAAAGAGAAAGTACACCTACTGTACAATTGTATTGAAAATGCCTGAACTATATAACTATATACATTTAAACAAAGACTGTAGAACATCTATATGAGTACATTCAATTACATTTCTCACTGTGTTGGAGTCTTTCTTTCTAACAGGGCAGAAGCATTGTTTAGGTATGTCAGGCCATTAGGGTTTCATATATACGGTTCTCTCTGATGCTTTATTTTCTTTATACCACCAACAGCCTTGAGTCTAGTGTTTCAGAATGTAATTCTGAGGCTTAGTGATCCTTTATTGTGTGTGTGATTCATGTGCAGCCACTGGCATGTTCGAAAAATGTAGTTAAAATAGAGTTTATGGACAAAGTAATTTTAAAACTGGCATTGAGTGATTTGAGTCTGATGAAAAGACTGAATGGCATTCTTACATTGAACGGTATGAGCTGTAAGCTGAGGTAATAACAGTGTATAAGTAAGTGGTTAATGCAATTGGTTTTCAAAAGGTTTAATAAAGCTGGATTTTAACTATTTGTCCTGACATTGAACCTTGCACATTGAATTTAAAGCAATACAGTTAATAAGAGCTTAAGTTAAGCAGTATGTTTTGTAGAGTAGAGAAACACAGCTGGCTTCATTTGCCAGGATAGTTCTTATTCCTATTATGTGAATTTAGATTCTGATTCGCTTGCAGGGCTTGTCTAAATCATTTAAAATTCTTCATGTTTTTAACTGCAAGCGAGGTCACATGAAGGCTCTTAAGCATTTTTGAAATATATTTCAATCATTCTTTAGCTTTGTGCCGTTCAGAGCTTGAGTCCTGAACTGAGATCTTTACTGGCACTCCAGTTTAAATTAAATTAATATTGGTCCTTTTATGCCAATGTTCATTATCGTACACAAAGATAACGCTTTAATGTGTGAATGTGCGAGTCTGATAACGGCTATCTGGGTCTGACCTCGTGTGTTTTAGCTCTACTCCAGCATGTTCATGAGGCTAACATTAGCTTGTTTCCTAACATCGTCATTGGCAGGTGTTCCACTTTTGTTGTGGTGTCATTGCAACCTGACTAACTACTTAAAAACATACACACCAAAAACAGCGTTTGGAAATTGGTAATATTTGGAAATATATATATGTATATATTTATAAACATGAATACACAAAATATACATCCAATTCAACCAACCACCAATATACCTAACATTCCATTATTTTCTCTTTTTTAAGAAACATAATCTATGAAATATCACAGATAATCAAATAGGTCAGTAAAACATACAATTATGTGACCTTTACTTTGCATTGCCAGCAGTTTGCCATCTTTTAACCAACGTCTAAACAACCTGAAGCAAGTCCAGGAGGAGCGCTGCATAAGCTTGAATTCAATGAGGCGAACACTGGAATCCCTTGACAATCTTGTCAGGTTCTTACAAATCCTATACGGGCAGGCAACAACATTTAACTGTCTTTACCTCATGAATAATGAAGGCAAGAAAACCACTTCCTGCTTGTTAGTCCATCACATAGCTTCCCTTTTCGTGGCAAGCATTTACTGTTCTCCTGCTCCATCATGATTCAAAATCTAATCAGCAGTGTCTGAGGCATTGAGGGTGGTTTTGGGCAAACACACAACTGAACAAATGACACTCTCCTCCCAAAAGGTGTTATTAAAGAAGTACAGCTGTAAGCCTCGTCATCACACAGATTCTGATCTGCTGTTTTGTGAGGTAACATATGAATCCTCTATGAATAACTAAGAGGTGATGTAAAGCTACATTATCTCTTTACATACTTTAAACTGTTTCACACTTTTACTTGAGATCCCTCCTATGTGTTTCAAGAAAACTTTGGTTCAGTGCCTGAACTAATGTAGTAGGTGATACACTGATTAAATGTAACTATTTAAAATCACACAAACACACAGTTAGTCTGCATCCTTTGGGGTAGGCCTACAGTATGGTTGTGTTTCTCTTTTTTTTAATCATTTTGTGTATTTTTCCCCTTTTCATAAATCATGTGAGACTCTTAGTGTGTCTTTGTTGCTGTTTTGCTCTATCTGTAGTTGTTTTGGTCTCTATGTAATCTTATTGAGGATTTATTTTGTAATGTTATGTTTTATTTGTGGTCAGTTTGGGTAGGCCTACTGTCTCTTTGACTTTCATGTTGTAGGTAAAGGCCAGGGGGCCCCTGTTTCTGTGTGCACAGCAGCCCCCTACAGTAATCCATCCTTGTCCAGGTGTAAATAATGAAATCATAATTATGCATGCTGACTCACTGTCAATGCTTACTGGGATACCTGAGCAGAATCATCGTTAATGTCATTAGTACCACCTGTGCTCCTTTATGAAAATACTTTCCTCCACTTCTTTAGTCACAGCTCGACGGTATCTACATTTTTATAAGCTTCTGAAGCTGTGAGCACAGTATACTCTACTGGTGGAAAGAGCCAACGCACCCTCTGAAGTTGAGCGGTCTAAAGGTAATGGAGCTCAGTTTGTTCTGTTTCTTGCTGGTGGAAGAAATTACCGAATGTTCACCTGTTACATATGGCAAGCCCTTTTACACATAACACATTTAACTTGATCATTTCTAATTTCTGACTAATCATACATTGCTGAAGCTTTCAATGTTGTCTTTCTTGCCATAGTGCACCTGCTGCGCATCAAACGCACCCCAAAAGTCAGAGGTTTAATGTTCAGTTTTTCTGTCCGTTTTTTTACTTACTCTGGAGGATTTACTCTCCACTGTGATGCCGAGGAAGAAAATGGCTTCAGTTCAACAAGGTAAGTAATTTCTGCTTAACATGCGTGTTGCTGGTTGCAGTGCTTTCAGTTGCTTGTTTGTTTATGTGCAGGTGCGCCACGTGAAGGCTAATTGCTAGCTACCTGCTGCTGCTGCTAGCAGTTAGCTTGTGTTGGTATGAGTTGGGAATGTTCTTGCATTGTTTGAGCTCGTTTTTCTTTGCTTGTTGTTCTGGGTGTACTTAATGGTACTTGTATGCTAACTTATGTAACATTATTCATGTTGAAGAGTTGTAAATAAGACATGGTAACATATTTCCCCTGGGTTGTTATTGACTCATAGAGGATAATATGGCATTGGCTGTTTTCTGCTGTCTTCATGGTTAAAACATGACTTTCATTCACATAACTAAATGGCCTTATTTATAGTGTTTTGGAGAGCTCTTTATGACCTGTTTTACATTCACATTTTCTTAACATATTATAATTTTATGGTTTAAACTTTAAAGTATTCAGATAGACTCGTTATAGTATGAAATAGAGTTGTAAGTATCTCAATGGTTGTGGAGAATTATGTCAGAGTCTAAATGCAAATACAGTATTTGGTACACTGTTTGCATACTGTAATACATTGGATAAAAAGGACTTAAGTTCTTATCACAGATCAAGAAAGAGGCTTTTACTTCACAAGAAACACCTTCAGTATAAGGAACAAATGATTAGTTTAGTTTTTAATACATGCATAAGTGAACAAAAAAACTGTAATTCTGACATACACAAACCAACAATTATATCCATATTTATCCTTATCATTGAGTTGCTTATTTAGCATTTTTGTTGACATGCATTATAAAGACAACCCACTGCTGAAATAGGCCATCAGTCAATGCCAAACTCAAATGATCCAAGCAGGCATTGCACACAGGTCTGTGGTTCTTAAGGACAACACGCTTGTCATCGTGTGCACACAAAGTTGATTTTTAAGGAATGCATCTATGTTTATTCTCTCCCTCCCTGTTGTGAATCACGGCACTTGAGTTAATTGCCGTGTTGCGTTGTGTGGAACAGAAGCCTCTTCAGTGGATGGTCCTATAATCAACTGGCTCATTCTGTATTGTCAGACATGAAGGGAAGGCCGAGGGCAGAGATGAAGATAGAGGGGGGAAAGTGCGTGGGCATGGACAGACATGTTGATGATGGTTAAAGAAAACACTAATCAAATTATCTACAAAAAACACGTGTAGTAGGCCTACTTTTGAAAACCGTTTCTCAAGAGCTTTAGAGGAATGAATAATCTGTGGTGGCAGACTGTCTCAATACAGACCTGGGAAGAAACTGGTGGAAAGAGTAAGGATTTTAGATTAAAGAAGATGAATGTGCTGATTATAGAACACAGTCTAGAATGAGACAATCATCCTGACTTTGATTCAAAATCAATCAACTTTTAACAGACAATAATGTAGACCTGGGTTTGCTAGTTTTACTAGAGAAAAGGTATAATGGTAATAGGGTTATAATGAAAAAAGCGATTATTCAGTAGTGTCTTTTATTGAGATTCTTCCCTGCT